GAGACAGCAGTGAAGGGCAATGGAGGCGAGAAGGCAAAATCGCCACCAAGAAGGGAGGCATCACACTCGGGGGCTTTCTGAGTGAGAATCCGGGACTCCTGGGGCTGGAGAAACGTTCAAGATCAGCTGATCCAACAATAACCAGTACCTAATAATAGTGGCTACTCTGTGTCGAGCACCTACCAGCCTCGTGGGAAGCTTTTGGAGTCCGACTTGACAGGGTATAGCGAAGAGACCCACCTGAGGCAGCTCATACCCTTCCTTCCTTTCTCTTCCTTCCTCTCTTTCCATTTCTCCCTCCCTCCTCAGTACTGACTATAAAACACTCTGCACTGTTAGTGACACTCAACCCATGTCTTCTGTTCTGTATTAGTCTTTGGGATAACACAAGACAGGTCCAAACCTTCTTCTGTAAGGCAGCTCTGCAGAGGCATGGAGTTACAGGCTAAGCCCCCACAGAGGCACTGTGAGAGTCGACCACCCGAAAAACGTCACCAAGAGACATGTCTCTTATGCAAACAGCACGGGGAAGTTTTATTGATTATCCAGCATGCTGGGGCTGTCTGATCATACATGAACAGAGCAGCCCCGAATAACCAAAGGTTAGGGTTTATAAAGGCAAAAACCGCAAAACCAGCAAGGGGAAGAGAATACACGGTTGTTAAGCAGTTGCTAAAGTCTTACAATCAGCAATTATGATCTTAAGACATAGACAAATCACATCTTCATTATTAGCCCAGGTAACCCAGGTGCAACCTTTCTACTTTTAAGCTTGAGCAATCATGCTAGGGGGTTTTTGTGCGTTGCCAAGGGTGATGTAGTGCACTGCTATTGTCCGACTATTTGAGATCATAGTTTCGGACCAGAGTCTCACGGTGGGGGGGTTGCTTTCCCAGAATGCAGTCTCAAGTGCTCCAAAATGGAGTCCCTACTGTCAAGGTGCTACTTCACTGTTTTATTTTTACAGCTGCACTAGGAAGGTTTAAACCTGTAAGCTTAAGCTTAACTTTTTACACCCGCACATATACAATTTTAACTCTTCAGCACTTCTCCAGTTGTTTTAATTTGTACTCTTCTGAACTGGTTCCAGGCTCCCTCCCTAGTTTGCTTTCCTCCTCATGTAAACTTGTCAGTTTCTCTCTTCAAGGGTGGCTCCCAATTCTTGACCTTATCCTCCCTAGTGGGATGCAAAAGCTTAATAGCAGCCCAGGTGTGAAAACATACCTTAGGAAATACCCATCCAATCTTTCATTCATTCATTTGTAGGCTAAGAGCTTGGAAGAGTCACTGGTGAACAGACACCACCCTTGCTTTCTCAGAGTTTACTGTAGCATGTGCTTGCCTTGTATTCAGAAAATATTGCTGGGCTCATTCCCATATGCATCTGTACATACAGAAGAGTGCTGGCCAACTGGGTATGAGCAAAGATACAAATGGGCCAGCGCCACGGCTCACTAGGCTAATCCTCCGCCTTGCGGTGCCAGCACACCGGGTTCTAGTCCCGGTCGGGGTGCCGGATTCTGTCCCTGTTGCCCCTCTTCCAGGCCAGCTCTCTGCTGTGGCCAGGGAGCGCAGTGGAGGATGGCCCAGGTGCTTGGGCCCTGCACCCCATGGGAGACCAGGAGAAGCACCCGGCTCCTGGCTTAGGATTAGCGTGGTGCGCCGGCCGCAGTGCTCTGGCCGCGGCGGCCATTGGAGGGTGAACCAACGGCAAAAGGAAGACCTTTCTCTCTGTCTCTCTCTCTCACTGTCCACTCTGCCTGTCAAAAAATTAAAAGAAAAAAAAAAGATACAAATGAATAAAACAGGGGAGCTGCTCTCAAGGAGCTGAGGTTTCAGGAGCAACACTATGCATTATTGGGGAAGAGATTGACCAGTATTTTTAAGCTTGAAATTAAATTTTACACTGATTCCTAAAAAGAAGCAAAATGTTGGACTTTCTCAGGGTTGGCATTGTGGCAAAATGAGTAAGCCTCTGCTTGTGATAATGGCATCACATATTGGAGCACCAGTTGGAGTCCTAGCTCATCCACTTCTGATCTAGCTTCCTGCTAATGCACCTGGGAAGGCAACAGTATGTGAGTCCTTGCCACCCACGTGGGTGACCTCAATGGAGTTCCAGGCTCCTGGCTTCTGTCTAGCCCAACCCTAGATGTTGCAGACATTTGGGGTGTGACTCAACATATGGGAGTCTTTCTTTCTCTGTCTCTCTCTTTTTGTATCTCTGTTTCTCTGTTTCCCTCTCTGTCTTTCTGCCTTTCAATTTGTTTAAATTTGATTTTCTTGGTGGCTGAGATACTCATCAAATGCAAATATCTGGACTTTAGCAGAGGCAATTTGTAATAAAATCCAACTTCTTGGGGAGTCCAGCAAAGAGAGAACTTGTTTGAAGAAGAATGAATAAATCAGGATAGCTATGAAGGGAAGTGGAAGGAGATGAGGTGCATTCACTCCATTATTGAGGGTCTAACTCTCATTCATTCACTTACATTTATTGGAAGTCTGTTATGTACCAGGCATGCTCAATGTGCTGGTAGAGAGCCTTCTCTTCATGTTGATACAGCATAGTGAGGGAAGGTGGCCATTAAAACTCAATATGATAAATGCTAATATGGAGTGGGGTATTAGCTAGGGAAGGGCTCTCTTTCTCCATCCAAAGCATGGTTCTCAACTGTAGATGATTTGGCAATGTCTGGAGATATATTTAATTCTCATAACTGAAGTAGGGGCTTGCTACTAGCATATATGGGGCAGAAGCTGAGAATGCTGTTCAACATCCTGTAATATATAAGACAACCTCCTGTAATAAAGAATTAAATGGCCCAAAAGGTTAACAGTGCTGCTAAGGGGCCGATGTTGTGGTGGAGCAAATGAGTCCAGTGCCTGTGATGGTGGACTCCCATATAGGCGCCAGTTTGAGTCCTGACTGTCCCACTTCTCATCCAGTTCCCTGCTAATGTGCCTGGAAAAGCAGAGGAAGATGGCTCTAGTGCTTGGGCCCCTGCCACCTATGTGGGAAACCTGGATGAATCTCCTGATCCTTCACTTTGGCCTGACACAGCCTGGGCTATTGCAGCCATTTGGGAAGTGAACCAGCAGATGAAGATCTCTCTCTCTCTCTTTCCATCCCTTTCTCTTTCTCTCTTAAACTCTGCCAAATAAAAAATAAATAAATAAAAAATCTTTAAAAAAAACAGTGCTGCTATTTAATAACTCAGACCCAGGGGTTTCAGATATTTCAAAAAAAAAAAAATCTCTTGAGCTGGGTTATAAGGATGAGAAATTAACTGAATAAAGAATAAGGATGGGCATCGGCACTGCGGCTCACTAGTCTAATCCTCTGCCTAGCGGCCCCGGCACACCGGGTTCTAGTCCCGGTCGGGGCGCCGGATTCTGTCCCGGTTGCCCCTCTTCCAGGCCAGTCCTCTGCTGTGGCCCGGGAGTGCAGTGGAGGATGGCCCAGGTGCTTGGGCCCTGCACCCTATGGGAGACCAGGATAAGTACCTGGCTCCTGCCATCGGATCAGCGCGGTGCGCCGGCTGCAGCACGCCGGCCGCAGCGGCCATTGGAGGGTGAACCAATGGCAAAGGAAGACCTTTCTCTCTGTCTCTTTCTCTCTCTCACTGTCCACTCTGCCTGTCAAAAAAAAAAAAAAAAGAATAGGGATGGGGCAGACTCTCCAGGAAGAGGAACAGAATATTTAAATATCAGGGAATTAGAGCACAAAAGAGCAAAAACAAGAGCTGGAGTGAGAGTGATACTATACTGAGACACAGTATTGTAGGGTTGTTGGCATGCAACTCCAGCCCTAGGGAACCAAAGGCACAAGACCTCACCTGTGAAGGCTGTGGTGTGGACTTTTCCCATCAGAGCCAGGAGATGGGGCTACTCAGAGTCTAGGAAACAACCACTCTCTCCAGGGTGTCCATAAGGCAAAATCTGGAGTCAAAGATGATTCCCAAAATTTAAATTTAATGTTGTTGGCCTCATTGGTTTTCAACTTAACGTGGTGCTACTTACATTTTCCTACTTGTCTGTTTTTCCCTTTTGGGATGGGAATGCCTATCCGTGCCTATCCACCAGTATGTTTTGGAAGCACATAAACTTGATTTGGCAGACTTGCAGCTAGAGAGAACTTTGCCTCAGAATGAATCAAACCTTGAATCTCATCCATATTTGAAATGAGCTGATATTTAGATGACACTTCGATCCAGACTTTGAAGTTTATGTTGGAATGAATTAAGACTTGGGGATTATTGGGGAAGAATGAATGTATTTTCATGTGAGAAGGGTGTTAGTTTTGAGGGCCAGAGGTAGAATGCTTGTGTCCTCCAGGAGCTCCTATGTTGAACACTAGCCCCCAAGGTCATAGTGTTTAGTGGTAGGGCCTTTGGGAGGTGTAAGAAGATGCAGGCCTTGGGGCCAGCGCTGTGGCTCAGTGGGTTAACGCCCTGGCCTGAAGCGCCAGCATCCCATATGGGCGCTGGTTCTAGTCCCAGCTGCCTCTCTTCTGATCTAGCTCTCGGCTATGGACTGGGAAAGCAGTAGAGGAAGCCCCTGCACCTGAGTGGTCTCCCGAGTGGGAGACCTGGAGGAATCTCTTGGCTCCTGGCTTCGGATCAGTTGTGGCCATCTGGGGAGTGAACCAGTGGATGGAAGACCTCTCTTTCTGTCTCTACCTCTCTCTATAACTCTCTTTCAAATAAAATAAAATAAATCTTTAAAAAAAAAAAAAAAAGAAGATGCAGTCCTCACGAATGGGATTAGAGCTCTTGGACCAGATGCTAGAGGGAGTTTGTTTGTCTCTTCTGCCATCAGAAGACTCCAGAGGAAGGAACTATCTGTGAAGAGCAGAGAGAGTGTCTTCACTAGATAGTATACCTGCTGGTACCTAGATTTTATTCTGCTTCATCTATGGGCTGCGTATTTCAACTATCTCTATACCCAGAAGGAAATGGGAATGGATTTGGCCATGATACAATCTTTTGTTTTTTCTGTAGACAGGATGGAAAAGAGAGGTCATGAACTGAGACAGGAGGATCACTTAGAAGAATGAGTGAGAACCAGTGCCAAAGTAATATCAGTGACCATGGGGCTTCCAGGAGAGAATTAGAATTGTTATCAAATCCAGAAGTTGAAGTCACATCATGCACTGGTTTGATGAGTTCTTTAATAAAATTATCGTGAACATTTAATATAAGATGTCTCCTGACTCTACCTGTTTTATTGGAAGCTTTTCTGAGGATGCCATTGTCTTTGCTGCTGAATTTTGCTGTTGATAAGAATGACAAGGTTGTTTCCTACTGAAGGTGTCATTGGAGCATGGACAAAGGTTGAGGATTTGGGGTGCAAAGATTGCCCAGTTATTTTTTTGTGGAAAACCCACTCTTTAGATTTCACATAAAGTGTTCCGAAAATGAGAGTTTCCATTTAATGTCATTCCATACCATGTACTCAGGGATATGAGAGAGGAAATAGGAGCTTTACTTTCAAGTGACTTGCATTTTGCTTCTGAAAGATTTAAATAACTCATGTGACAAGGTAAGAGAGCCCCAAGACAGCAAGCTCTTGAGATGCAGGCACTATGTGTTGTGTGGATTCCAAGCAAGGAGAGGGAAGCATGGGCAGGTGTTGACTGGAACATTTCTAATGGTAGTACCATTCAAGGTGGGTCCCTGGGAGTGTTCTCCAGAGCTGCCCTATGCTTGGGACCTAGTGTATCCCAGAGACTCTCAGCATGGCTTTGGAATAGGGTAGGCATGAGTGTGCAGCTGAGTTCTATTCTTTACTAGCTCTATGATGTTGAGTAAATGTGGATAAATGAAACATCACAACACAGATAGCCTGGCACAGAAGTAATAATCCATAAGTGGCACATGTTAGGTTGTAAGAGAACAGTCAAAGCATACTCCTGAAGCTAGATTTCTTGCTTGTGAATCCAAGCTCATCTCCTTACTTTCTGTATGATTGTGGTCAATTCAATTCATGTTACCTCTCTGTGTGTCAGCTTCTTCACCTGTAAAACGGATATCATGTTACCACTTGTTTTGTAGACCTGCAATATGGGTAAATCCATTCATATAATTACATATAAATATATAATATAATTAATAAGTAAATATTATATATGTAATATAAATAACATGTAAGAGTGCTATATGCATGTTGCATGTTATAGCTATTAATATCATAATTAAAAGTAATCACTCTACATCCACACATGGTCATCTCTACACTGAGCAACAGTGGCATTTCCTTTTTCAGAGAGCTGTACAACAATTCAGACAAATACCATACAATTTCCCCGTGTATGTGTGTGTGTGAGATGGGAAATGATGTCACCCTTTTCACCCTATGACATTGACATATGCATTTGCAAATAACTTGAGCTCCCAGTTTGCTCTACTCATTTGGCAGCAAGCACAAGGTCACAAAAAAGTATGAATAGGCAAGGGGAAGGGGCACAAATGGGGGTGAGGGTGGGAGAATCAGAGAATCAATTTACAGTTGTTGAGATTATTACTACCTCAGTTTTCTTAAAGAATGTGCTGGCTTCTTGTCCATAACAGCAATTGCAATCACTTACTGAATACTCTCTGTGTGGGGGGCATGTTACTAAGTGTTTTATAAGTGTGTTATCTCATTTCATCGTGATAATACCTGGAAGAATGATTTGAAAGAGTTTTCAGAGGTTAACTGATCTGAGATCACATGGTCAGTTTATAATGCAACCAAGAGTAAGACACAAACCTTTCTGACTCCAGCAGGCAATGGTCTTAACTGCTGCTGATGTCCAGAGAGGATGACAGAACGGGGTGTTGGTAGTCAGTGTCTTTTCTGATGGGTAGGTGCCCTGTCATTATGATTGGTCAATAGTTCCACTGCCACAGCTCTTCTCAACTTCAGTCACCTTTACGTTGGTACAGTCAGAGATGGTTGGAAAGAAGAGACAAAGATGGCATGTCTTCTTAGACTCTGTGACACATTGATTTGAATGTAAAGGGAACGAAAACTAAATGTAAAATGCCCAAGATCTTAGGAATGTAATGACCAAGTGTGTTTGCAATACCTAATCAATATGGTGGATGAGAAGAAGGATGGGGATATGAGTTGGAGGAGATGACTTAATATAAACATTGCCCCCTTATGAAAGAAAGATGCTGTTGCTGAAATAAACTAGGAAATCAAAAGACCCAAGCAAAACACTAGAAAGGAAAAATCATCTATAATTTTCAGTTTTAATGCCTAGGATACACCTCTGCGAACAACTGTGACCACCTCAACAGCTCTGCAGGGGTTCTTAGAGGTCCCTTATGGTCTAAAGTGTTGTGATAATAATTCAAGAACTCTGATTAAGAAGTCCGGTGGTGTGGGAGAAGCCTGGGATGTGCAACTTGTGCCTGGCTAGCTGAGTTCTTTTTTTTTTTTTTTTTTTTTTTTTTTTTGACAGGCCGAGTGGACAGTGAGAGAGAGAGACAGAGAGAAAGGTCTTCCTTTGCCATTGGTTCACCCTCCAATGGCCGCCGCGGCCGGCGCACCGCGCTGATCCGATGGCAGGAGCCAGGAGCCAGGAGCCAGGAGCCAGGTGCTTTTCCTGGTCTCCCATGGGGTGCAGGGCCCAAGCACCTGGGCCATCCTCCACTGCACTCCCTGGCCACAGCAGAGGACTGGCCTGGAAGAGGGGCAACCGGGACAGAATCCGGCGTCCCGACCGGGACTAGAACCCGGTGTGCCGGGGCCGCTAGGCGGAGGATTAGCCTAGTGAGCCGCGGCGCCGGCCATGGCTAGCTGAGTTCTAATTCATCCCCATGGAAAACTTGTTCAAGGGAAAATTTTCAGTGTAGAACTGAAAAGCAGAACTCAGTACAGTATATAATCCTAACAATGCCATATGAAAATGCAGTAAAAATAGAGTCAATTACACACTGTCAAAGCTTTTCTCTAAACAGCTGCTTAACAGAATATGACAATTTTTCCTACAATGTAGTAAAAATATATAAAAAAAAGTTCTCTCACAATGCCAACTACACAAAGCCGAATTCATTAACACTTTATTACCTTAAACTCTATTGTACGTGAGAAATAATATGACGCAACTTGTCACTTTTTCCTTTTCCCGGTTTTGTTACCGTGACACTTCCAGATTTGGGAGCTTGCTAGTGTGTTGTGATCTACATTTAATGATCTTAACAGGGACTTAGTCAGACATTGTTCATTTCTCTTGTGTTATCCCTGAGCGAAGTGTTACATGAACAGTGAGACCCAATTATATCATAGTGTAATTTACAAAGGAGGGGAAAAAAAAAGTTCTTTTCATGGTGTGTTCCCCAAGGAGAGTAGGAGTATTGTAGCAGTTTCTTGGCTCTGCTTTGCAACATTATAATTAGCTATAATCTGAGCATTTGCATGTAGTACATAGAGCAGGAGTAATTCTCAGCTTGCTGGGTTAGGATGTAAAATGGTCTTTTATGAGACAGTTGCTCCGATATACCTAATTTTTCTTAGCACATTTGCATCTACGTTGTGGCTGATCATCACAAATGGAAATTGTCACTCTTAATATGGAAGAAAAATGAGGAAATGCATCATAATGAAAGGTAATTTTTTTTTTAACCAACAGATTGTAATTGAGGGCCTCTTATGGACTAGGGCAAAACCCTGATGGTTTGGGGATAAAAAAGCTAGATTTGATTTTAATCCAAACTTTGTATGGCTTTATAGTTAAGATTACATTTCATACACCTTGTAAACTTTCCTCTGGGAGGTCAAGTCCTTCAGCACTGTGATAGCTTCAGCCTGTGCTATAAGCTCAGAGCTTTGCTTCCTGAAACAAGAAAGCAGTAGTTAAAGGAACTGAGGAACACAAAGAGAGTTTATTAGGTTGCTATCTCTTATACATGGACCACTTTCTCTGCCTTCACCATCAACTTTAGGCTTCATCATGAATCCACCAACTGGTCACATTAGTTGATTTCACCTTAGGAAGTATGTGTGTATGTTCCAGAAGTGTAAGGCAAAAGTCTCAGAACCAAAACAACCCTTGAAAATTTCATAGAATCGCACTCCAGAGAGCTTGAGAAGCCCCATGATGAAAGCCTATGGGAACTGAGCCAATTGAGAGAGTGGTGATTCACCGCAATTTCCCCTTTCAGGCTTCCTCCAGGGCACATCCTAATTGTGGGTGGAATGGCCCCATGTTTAAGTAATTATCTCTCTATATCTCGAGCTCCTGCTCTCTCTTCTGTGTTGCATTAAAGCAGAAGGATCTGGTCTATGACGAGCATGACCTTCATTTACTCCCACCAGAATGTAAGTTCCACTGGAAGCTTGGTCTTGCTCACCTTTTTGTTTCTAACATTTATCTATTTATTTAAAATGCACAGCGACATAGTGAGTGGGAGAGAAAGCACCAATAGAAAATGCAAGCTGTAACTTTTCAGGATTTGCATATCATTCAATTTTTTAACTTGAAATAATTTTAATTGTATGAGAAAATTCAGTCACAGTGAAAGAGCTCTTGTATACCAGTTGTCAATATTTGTAACATTTTGTCATCTTTCCTCATCATTATATGTATTCTTCTTTCTTAGAAAAATCACCCTATTCTTCTTTCTTAATATTTCCTTGTGTTTTTCCTACGAAGGTAGTCATTTCTGGTGTAACTGGAGTGCAATCATTGGAAATCACTCAATTTAACACTGATACTAAGTGATAGATGCTACTAAATTCCCATCAATTATCCCAAACATGTGTTTTATAGTATCCCCTACACCAGCCTCTGGTTCAGGATCCAATTCAAGATCATGCCTTGCATGGAAAGCCAAGACACTCTGGCAAAAAGATCTCTGTGAGTGAGATCCCAGTGGAAAGAACAGGTCTTCAAAGAGGGAGGTGCCTTTCTCTGAAGGGAGGAGAGAACCTCCACTTTGACTATGACCGTGTCTAAACAAGATAAGAGTCGGAGAACTCAAGGGGCTTCCATAGCCTTGGAAACTCATAACTGGTGCATAGGGAGATTACTGATGCCATAAACAGGAGTGTCAATTGGTAAAGTCAACAACAGGAGTCACTGTGCACTTACTCCTCATGTAGGATCTCTGTCCTTAACGTGCTGTACACTGAGGCTTAATGCTATAATGAGTACTCAAACAGTATATTTCACTTTGTGTTTCTATGGGGGTGCAAACGACTGAAATCTTTACTTAATGTACACTAAACTGATCTTCTGTAAAAAAAAAGAAAGAAATTATCAATTCCCAACTTGACTCTCACTGGGATTAAACATGACAATAGGTCTGATCTGATTTCATCATCATTTAAAAAAAATCATCTATTATTTTTCACTTTATGTTTCTGTGTGGGAGCAAACTGTTGAAATACTTACTTAAGGTATACTAAGCTGATCTTCTGTATACTAAGATAATCGAAAATGAATCTTGATGTGAATGGAAGGGGAGAGGGAGTGGGAAAGGGGAGGGTTGTGGGTGGGAGGGGCGGTATGGGGGGGGAAGCCATTGTAACACATGAGTCGTACTTTGGAAATT